TACTTGCTATTGACTTAACATCTCTCAATGTTCAGAGACAATGTTAGCTACCTAACCTCAGGTACCATATTTAGTAAAGACAGCCATTGATAGCAGTTGCTATTTCAGGAACCACACTAAAAGTAGCTAAACCCTGTAAATGTTTATCTGTCACAGTTTTGCTTACCTTACATGAAAGGATGTTACCAAAAGCAGAAAATGTATCATACAGTGCTTTATTATCGATGGATTTGTCCAAATTTTTAATGAATATGTTGCCTACTCCACTTTTGCGAAGTGATGGATCACGCTGAGACCACATGATGCGTACTGGCTTGCCCTTTATAACATCAAAATTCATGGTGTCCAAAGCACGCTCCGCTGCAAGAAGGAAATTTTTAAAATGAGTATTACTTCATAACTTTTTCTGGTCCCTTAAAATTATTATCAGCTAGCTGGGCATGGTGCACACCTGTAATCCCAGTACTCTGGAGGCTGAACCATGAGTATGAGGCCAGCCTGAGCTACATAGTGAGTAGCTGAACTGCATAAGAGACTATCTCAAAACAACAAAAAAATATATTGTGGGTGGAGCGGGTAGGCACTTAGTCTCGCAGCTGAACTCTTCTTAAATTCCAAGATTGCTGAACCTTTCAAGTATCAAACACTCATCTAAATTTACATTATATAACGCACAAAGACAAGTCCAAAATATGAAATTTAATTATTACTGATACATGTCTGAAACACTCTCTCCTACTTTCATTAAATTTAAAAGCACCTTTTTGCTCAACATGAAACCATGATTCTTTTATATTCAATCTACTTAAGGACCAATATAAGGCTAGGTGGCTGGGCCTCGTGGTGCACACCTGTAATCCTAGCACTTCTAACACTCAGGAGGCTGAAGCAGGATTTCAGCAAGTTCAAGGTTAATCTGCACTAGATAATGAGACCATCTCATCAAGGGTAAAAAAAAAAAAAGACTAGGCAATTGTACATTATCAAAAGGCTCAGAAGCAACTTCTTTATTTGAACACTAACTTCTTCCTATTGGCCAAAGCTTTGCTCACTTTTTATTGCTCAGCACTACCAATATTATATACACTGATTAGTACATTTTCTGTACAAAACTGCCTAAACTACTGGAAGGGTTTCCATGGCAAAAAGGCTAGATCTGAATGCCTTAAAAAACATGAAGCTAGACATACTTGCATAATAATCGCAGAATTTTGAAATAACAGATTCACAATACTCAATCCACTTTTCATGAAACACTAAAGTAATTTTATCTTAGATCACTGGTTTACTTAACTTATGACGTTCTCAGTTATTTCTAGGTTGTGCCGGAAATTTTAGAAAAGCCTACCCTATAATTACTTTCAGTCTATGAAGGCTGCATTCGATGTACCTGTACCATGACAGAAACATTTACTAAAATGGAGACCCTAAATAGGAAAAAAAAAAACAAAAAACACCACAACTTTAAGATTAGTCTCTACAGAGGGGAAAGCCCATTTGAAGTCCTGACGCAATTTTTAAATTCCAGGCCAACCTAACTAAGTTATCAACAGGACAGATTTTCCTGCTACTTCTTTCTATAAATGAAAGTTCCAGTTTCTAGAAAATAGTGACAATCAGCTGTCAGCTCATTATCAATTCACCACACCTACTCAGCTCCCCCAGTTTTTTTTTTTTTTAAGCTGACTTTGCTTGGGCTTCTTCTGAATCAGTCAACTCTTATCAAATAGTAGTCACTTTCTGAAACTATTCTACAATTCATCAGTGCAGCAATAAATTTTTTAAAATAACGAGAAAAGGAAACCTGAAAAACTATTTTCAATGATGATAAACTGTACATATAAAAACTAAAATATGAAAAATGCTGTATTAGTTTGACCAGTTATGGTACCTACTAGTATAATCAAAATATATACGCTCTATGTAACCATGGCAACCTCAAGTTCAACTTTTCGAATTTCAAATTTTTTGGATTTAAAAATATTAAACTCAGACTAAAACTTCCAAGTTACTGTTTTACAGTATCTAGAATTCAAATTTTCTCTTCCTCCTCTTGAAGACTGTGATTACTTGCCCCAAAGAGATACATACTGCCCAGAGTAAAAAGGTAGGAGAACTTCAACTATAGAGCAGTTTTTACAACTTTAGCTCTTTGTGCCACTCGATAGTCTTGCTCCCAAAATCTTGGTACTGACTTTGCCTAGTGCAAAACTCATCATTAACCATTAAGTAAGTAAATGTCTATCCCACCTTTAAGGCCTTTTTGACTAAAATAAAAACGAATCCCTCAATTTTTATTTAAATACTCGCTACACATTAAAGCAGCTGGAAGAAAAAGAAACTAGGCCACATAATTGAATCTGACTGCTTGAAATCAAATGATCCAGATATAAAAATCCCAGTAACTCATCAGACCACATACCTTAACTGTCAAAATTTTTTTTGTGAACTGCTGTTAACTTCAAATAATAACACAAGCTCAACTTAATCTGTTATTTTGTATCCTATCATTCCTCAAGATCATATTCAGGAACACTTTTATAAGTAGGAGAAACATGATTTACTTGTATACTACATACAAATAAATGTTAAGGTCCAACCTAGGTCACATTAATATGTACAACTAAAATTAGTCAACATATTTTAAACAAAAATCCCTCCAAAACCGCAGCAACTGTTTCAGAAGAAAACATATATTCAACGTATCACTGGCATTATGAAACTCAGGTCAAATTCCATTAAAATGATCTAAGTTGCCTGAGAAAACTGACAACTTCTTTCACAGCCCTCTTCCCATCACCCTGATGTACACGCAAGAGAAAAGCCTAGTCTACAGGAAAACCCCTAAGTACACGTCTCGGTGGTAATTTCCATCTCTAGGTCCATCAGCTACTAACGCGGTAAGACTAAATTCTCAATCCCGAGAGCCACCAGTCCGGGTGGGTCCCCCTACGAACTTTATTCCAAGGCCTGGTGGCGTCCCCACCCCAGCCCCGACACGGGGACAGTCGCAGGAACAGGCCTCGGGCCTACGAGGTTACAGGGTTCAACACGTGTTTTGCGAGCCCCGGATCGCACTTCCTCCCAGGCCCCGGCGCCGGCCAGAGCCCGCGGGTGGGAGCCTCCACCTCCCAGCCGGGAAGGGGGAACCCGCACCTTCGACGGGAGCGCGGTTCAAGGAACGAGCCTAACCCACCGTCCCGGCGCGTCAGCACCCTAAAGTTTGAGAGCAGCTGAGGACGAGAAAATGGTCGCAAAGGAGGAAGTGGCCCGGCAG